CGGATTTCCAAATGCAGTTTCATGCATGTTGTCAGAAAGCCCTCAGATTGGTGTGCAGGGCCTCATGATGGAGCTCCCCAGACTGAGTGGCTTGAACCACACGTACTTGTTCTCTCTCGGCCCCGGAGGGTGGAAGTCACCACCCGTGTCCCCTATCTCCTCTCCACACGAGGAGTCCTGCGCGGCACCCAGTGGGACCGTACACTGAGTCAGACAAATCTAAATTTCACACAACAAGAATCGTCATCCCACGTCCCTTGTCCCCGTAGTCAAAGACGGACAAGAGATGATAGATACTTCAGGAAGACACTTTGTATCAGAGATGGAGTCTGAATGTCAAGATCATCCATCAAAAAGCACTCCTGATGCACAACCCAGAGGTATCAGTTTTCTTGGCAGCTATAACAAAAGGTCCCAGCCTGGGGGACTTCACGACACAGAACTCACTTTTCTGTTGTGTTTCGTTGCATGGGATTGACCTTAGGGGTGGGCCTGGCTGGGAGCATGGGGACAGATAATCAATGCTGACGGGTTTGGTCACTCATACCACCAACCTCAGGCTCATGAAGACCTACAAAGTCAGAGCGAGGCTAGTAAAGCCGGCCAGGCCTCGGCGGAGCCAAGGGCCGTCGGAAAGTCTCAGCTCCGAGCGGTGGGCAGAGCCACTGTCCTCCAAGGTGGGAGGGCGGGACCAGGGCTCGATTCCAACAGAAACCCCCTCCCCCTCGAGGGTCAGACAGGGAAGCGGAATCCTCAGAAGGTGGGAGAAGGCTGCTTTCAAGCGAGAACCCGGTTTCCAGAAAAAAGGTATTTTTAAAGAGCAGTGGAATGAAGACATTTTCAAGCAGAGCACGGCCCGTCTGTCGGCACGAGACCCGTACCCGTGAGACGGCGGCCGTCACCCACCGGAGCTCAGGAAGGATCCAGGGCCTGATGGTGGCACCCCTTCCGTTGGCGGTATGGGCTCAGCGTTCCACATACCTGAAGGCCCTAAGCCGCCACGGGATTCTGTGGACCCAGGACCTTTGCAGAGGGGATGGGGGCGCAGTGAGGCCCCAGGGTGGCCCTGACCCAGCAGGACTGGGGTCCTTGTAGAGGAGGAGATGAGGACACAGACGCACACAGAGGGACGGCCCCGGGAGGACACGGGGAGAAGACGGCGTCTGCAAGCCCAGGGGAGAGGCCTCGGGAGGAGCCGGCCCTGCCCAGCCTGGACCTTGGGCTCGCGGCCTCCAGGACTGGGGGACAATCCACGTCTGTTGTTTAAGCCCCCAGACCGTGGGATCGTGCCGTGACAGTCAGAGCAGACTAGTACACGCTGTTTCCAGCTTTTGTTCTTTTGGTACCAGGGACTGAACTCGGGGGCACTCGACCACTGAGCCCCAGCCCTATTTTGTATTTTATTTAGAGACAGGGTCTCCCTGAGTTGCTTAGGGCCTCGCTGTTGCTGAGGCTGGCTTTGAACTCGCGATCCTCCTGCCTCGGCCTCCTGAGACCCTGGGATGACAGGCAAATATCTCCGTGCCTGGCCTGTTTCCAACTTTTTCAAAACAATTATTTTTTTGAGACAGGGTCTTGCTAAGTCGCCCAGGCTGGCCTCAAACTCATGATCCTCCTGCCTCAGCCTCCCAAGTAACCAAAATCACAGATGTGCAGTACCGAGCCCAGTTTGCTTCTGAGTTTTAAATGAAATGTGTATTTTACCATCAAGTTCTGTACTTACTGTTGGTTCGTGAAGAAATGTCTATCATCGTCACGTTAGTTAAATATGTATGTGTTTGCTTAGGTCTGAATTTACTAAGACACGAATATGAAATAGATCCTGTCTTCCTCGAGTGGACTTGGCTAAGTGATTCTCTGCATGACACATGAACTCAGAGCTCCATGGCAAAGCTGTCAAGTAGGAAGCGAACGTCTAGTCTGTGTGTTTGCAGAGGCTCTATGCTGCTCGGGACAGAGGTCCGTGGGCAGAGTGCTTGCCTAGTGGGCGGGAGGCCTTGGGTTCTAATCCTGCAGCATAAAAAGGGAGGGGAGAAGAGCACCAAGCTTTGAATCTTGGTGGAAGGGACTGGAGAACATTAGAACCTGCTGGACATTCAACTCTTTTTCTAAAAGTTCTGTTCCCGAGAGAAATACAGCATCAACCTCGTGGTAAATATCTGGAAACGTTTAATGAAAAGGTGACTATCTCATAAACAGTGCTGCAGAAATCCCAGTGGACCTTGGGAATCGTGCCATTCGCAGTTCCCCAAAAGCCAGGCTCTGAGGCTCAGTGCCACGGAGCTTCCTGGTTTCAGATGACCTGGTGACAGGCACCTGTCACCATGATGGCGATCTCACAGCAGGGACCTGAAATGTCCCCAGAGGCTCCTGTGTTGATGGTGGGTCCCCACGCAGCAAGGTTCAGGGGGGAGCTTTTAGGCCATGATCGGACCGTGAGGGTGCTGACATCACCAGGGGGTTGATCCATTTGGTGGATTAATCCATTTGGTGGAGTATCCACGGAAGCTGCGTGGACAGTGGGGAGAAGGGCCGAGCCACCACGGAATCCACCCTGGGAACCGTGAGCCGCTGTGAACTTCTCCTCCTGGAAGTCGCGTTGGTCACAGCCATGGAAAGCGGGGGACCCACCACCGAGGTGCTGAGTCAGGACAGAACCCGGCCCAGCCCGGGGCTCTCCCCCAGCCCCCACCCAGGCCAACAGCAGGGGTTCATCCAGGGTCTGAGGCGGGGCGCTCAGGCGGAGGCTCAGGCGGAGGCTCAGGCGGGGGTGTGTTTGCCGAGGGCCCTGATCTGAATCCTAGGACCTCGCATCAGAAAGGACAGGGGGACACCCACACTAGTTCCCTCAGCTTCCTGGGAACGGGGCCTCACCCCCGGGTCACTTCCCCAAAGCCACCCCCTAATGCCACCCCAGTGGGGACCAGGCTCAAATGCACGTGGGGGCTCCCCTTCAAACCCGAGTGCCAACCCGGGCACTCTGCACCTGGCTGGACAAGACAAGTCCCCTAAGGTGTGCGACTCGTCCGTGTGTCCGAGTGGCCTGCCCACACAGGCCAGCAGTGTTTCCTGATGGAATTCAATTTCGGTAACAGGTGCAACTCGTGAACCCCCCGTGGGTAATGAAGGAGGTGAAGATTCTGTGCTCAGGTGGACAAGAGAACGTTGTCCACTCCAGAGACTCATGGGATGCCCCCCGAGGTGTCCTGAAGACCTGCTTTAGGACGCGTGAGCCCCTCCATCGACAAAGTCCTCACAAGAATCCTGTAACCTGAGAACCTTCAACCCACACCTCGGGACCCTCCGTGGGGTGAACTAACGCAGCCCGTCCCCCTCTGTGGAAGCCAGGTCTGCGCTGCCAAGGGCGACCTTAACGACAGACACCCAGGGAGGAAGGACAGACACCCAGGGAGGAAGGACAGACACCCAGGGAGGAAGGGCTCATCCTGTCTTGTGGTTGGGGGCCCCACTCCAGCCGCCTGGCCTGTTTGGCCTGTGGTGGGGCAGCACCCCAGGGTGGGAACCTGAGGCCCAGCAAGGTGCTCACCTCCTGGCAGCCAGGAAGGCAGAGAGAGGGGGAGGGGGAGGGGGAGGGGAAGGAGGGAGGGGGAGGAGGGGGGAGGGGAAGGAGGAGGGATGAGGGGGGGAGGAGGAAGGATGAGGGGGTGAAGGATGAGGAGGAGGAGGAAGAAGTAGGAGGGGAGGAGGAAGTGGGAGGAGGAGGGGGAAGGGGGAGGGGGAGGGGAGGAGGAAGGGGAGGGGGAAAGGGGAGGGGGAGGGGGAGGGGAGGACTGGTGCAGTAGTCCCTTTGGGGACACATTACCAAAGACAGCTTCCGCGGACACGGAGCCTCTTGCAGTTTGACACCTGCCCACAGCGCAGCTCTGGGGACCAACCTTTGACACCAGGCCTGTGTGGGACATCCCAGAGCCCCGCTAGGCCTCCTCACCCACAGGAGGTGGGGTGCAGAAGCCTGCAGCCGTGGAGAGGACGGAGCCCAGGGTGGAGCCTGCTGCCCGGCCCGTGCGTGAACCTGATGCAGCGTGTCCAGTAAGGTGTCCATCTCGGCCCCTTGGTAACAGGACCCTAAGGACGGACAGCAGTAAGGTCTTTAAAGGTGGTGCACTGTCTTCTGGAAGGCTGCAGGGAGAAGCACGGAGCTTTGGGGGGCGCCCCGTGAGCCGCTCCGTGCAGTGTAGACCGCTTTTACGGGGTTAGCTCATCGGAACCAGCACCTTTGCTCTCAGGTTTTGAAACGCGCAGCGCGAGCCACAGGTAGCTTCCCACGCGAGACCGACTCACCACACTCCAAGAGACGGGATCCACTGGAGCTCAACGTGCACCGTGGCGCAGAGGTCGGCTGGCCACCACCACGCCTGCCCCCGGGACACGAGCTCCTCTGCTGTGGAGAGGGACCTTCCCGCTCCCTCCTTCTAGAAGAATCCCTCCACCTGTGCCGGAGGCTGTTGAGTGGGAGAAGCCTGTGACCAGGGGCGATCAGCAGTTCTGAGCGGGGCTGGGCGTGCTCCGTGAGGTGGGATGGAGGAGGCTGACGATGCCACCTCCCGGGCACTGCCACCGAGTCATGCAGGTGTGTACGCAGGTGTGTGCTGTGCGATGAGGATGTGATGACTGTGCGTCCAACACACGCATCACACGGGAGCGCTAAGTTGTCTGGTACCTGCTGTAATGTGCCCGTCATCTGGTGAAGACCGTCGTGGAGTGAGGACTTGGGACTCGCGGGTTGAGACCCTGCTCTTTCCCGGGGACGACGGCCCAATGATTAGAAACATCCCCAAGGGCACAGCGTCAACAGTGGCACTCACATGGAGAGCCTGTGTGCCGTGTCGGGGGCACGTGGCGCACTTCCCCCGTCGGTGCCCTTGGCCAGCTGAGCCCACTGTGGCTAGAGGACAGAAGGCGGAGGGACTCGGGGCCCGGGGCCGGGTTTTGGAGGACATGGTGTAAAGGGTGAAATCAGGACTCACGAGCACCACGTGGACGGGTACAAGGACTTTATTACACCCCATCAGCCTGCGAGGACACTGGAAGGCGCTGCCGTGGCTCAGGAGGCTTCTGGGGGCAGGCGTGCCCTGAGAGCCAGGCGGGGTGCCCGGAGAAGGACCGTCCCCCCCAAACACCCGCCCCTCTGCCTTCTCTCCACCAGGCACGGAGGTGACAGTCAGCTCAACAAGAGTGGAGCACAGAGCCACCCGGACAGACAGGCGTGCAGATCAAACCGTTTCTCTGACAGGAGACAGCCCTCGCCAGGCAGAGCGAGCCCGCCAGAGTGGGGAGGCCGACAGCACCCCAAGAGTTCCGTGGCGCTCAGGCCTCCCGGGTCCTACCCTAACCTCACCGTTTCCACCAAGCACCGGAAGGCCAGCGTCCCCGAGGGACAGGAGTGGGCTTGTGAGGTGGAAAACTCTCCTCAACATGGAGACGGGTGCTGTGGACACGTGCAGGCCAGAGGGACCCTGCTGGGGCGGCTCCTGGGAGTCGGGGTGCGGCTGTGCAGGGAGGTACTGTGAGGAGCAGAGGGAGGGGGAGGTCCTCAGGCTCGAGGCCGGCCCTCCTCTCAAGCTGCTGAGCAGAGGGAGTGGGTGCAGGCCCAGGGGTGTGAAGCAGCTCAGCAGAGGGAGTGCGGACACGCCTGCACACACACACACACACACACACATGAACGCATACACGCATGCACACGGGGCTGACATGGCGTAGCTGCCAATGTTGAGAGAACTAGAATAAGGGAAGGGCCACGTGTGATCTCTGCCTGGAGAGCAGGGGGCACGCACGCAGACCACACACGACACGCGTGTGCCGGTGGCACGGGCTGCACGCTGGACCTTGCTCTGCACGGTCTCTGTCCTCCCTCAAGTGTCCAGTGCACGGCCATCAACCCTGGAGCAAAACTGGGCCACGCCAGCTCAGGGCACAGGCCCCTCCCCAGTAGGGACAGAGGTGACGCGGGTGCACCTGGCGTGGGTGCACCTGCGGCTGCCGACTCCCTCCACCCTCCCCTCAGCAGGTGGACCCTGAACGTGGGCGGGGCCCAGGAGGCCCACGGCGGGCGGCGTGGAGCAGTCGGTCGCGGTGGCCCTCAGTCGTAGGCGGGCAAGCCGAAGACCTGGGGCTGCAGGTCCTGCAGGGAACGCAGCACCAGGGTGGCCTTGCTCGTCAGGTCGCGGCTCAGGCGCTCATCGGGGACCATCACCACCTGCATCCCGGCCGCCAGGGCCGCCTCCACCCCGTTGGGCGCGTCTTCGAAGACCAGGCACTGTGGGGACAAGAGAGCGAGATGCCGTGCACGCCCACACACCCAGGGGGCTGAGCGCTGTCCTGGGCACGGGCTCCGCCACGTGCGCACGGGGACGAGGGTGCTGCGTGACTCCTGGGTCAGAAGGTCGCAGAGCGGCTGCGGTGGACCCCCACAGGGACAGCGGTGGGGAGAGGTGTCCATCGCCACAGAGCATCGTGGACACGCAGAGAAGCCTTGCCCGGCTCACGGCCTTCAGCCTCACCCGCGTCCTAAGGATCGGTTGGGCCAAGGCCTGGACACGCGGGGAGCGGGGGAGGGGCTCGCAGGGAGCGAGGAAGGGACAAGGCAAGACCACGTCTTGCCCCGTGTCACAGCGGCACGGGTCGGGTCTCACGGACTGTGGTGGGAAAGGGCAGGGATGGGGTGCTATCGTGCAAACCCGTGTCCCTGGGCGCACAGCTTACGTGACACACAAACCTCAGGAACACCAAGGCGTGGCGCGTCCCGGGGGATGGTGACAATCACCGTGCCACGGGGGATGGTGACAATCACCGTGCCACGGGGGATGGTGACACGAGGGCACACTGCCTCCTGGCCCCCCTCACCCGGTGGCCTGTACTGGCACTGGGTGTCCACGTGTCGGTGCCCAGCCCCCCCCCCACAGTGCCCCCCAACACCCCCACCCTCCTGGAGCCCCCAGACACCTCTGCAGCACCCCCCATACCCTTGCAGCCCTCCTACACACCCTGCAGCCCCCCACCCCTGCAGCACCCGGCCTCTGCCCCCTGGGGCTGGGGTGGTCGGCAGAGCAGGCTGCAGACCCCCGCACGCCACCTCAGGGGAAGATGGTGTCCTGCTGCCACCGCCCCTCCCTGCAGGGGAGAGCCGCTCCCGGGGCTCCGGGGTGCTCAGGGCGCTCTCATGCATCTCCCCTTCCCCCCAGAGCCGGCCCCCGGGGCTGTGGAGGTGGGTCCCTCTTTCTGCACCCCCCTCTGAGCCCCGCCATGATCTGCAGCCGTCGCGGGACATGGACTCGTGGCCCACCACTCCCTTCCCCAGCCCATTAGCCAACTCACTGCCTACAGGAAATGAGGAGCCCCTCCCGAAGAGCACTGAGGCCTCCGGGGGGGGGGGGGGGGGGTGCAGTCTGCCAGGGTCCTGGAGCCTGGGTGGGTGGGTGCGTGGGGAGACAGTTGCTGCCCACACCTGGAAGGTGCTGGGCGAGGGCCAGGAAATGAGTCACCTGGGACCAGCCAGGTGTGCTGTGCGGTTCACTGATTCCCTCTGCCTGTTCCTGTCCCAGCCTTTTTAAAGTCACGGGTGGTGTATTCTAACTGCACTCACCCAGAGCACACAGGCACAGACGTGTCCCATGACGGGGCGGGACAGACACCCTGTCCCCCGGGGACCTGGGAGGGTGTGCAGTCGGCCCACAGGATGAGGGGTGGGGCGCAGGAACACTTCGCCCATGCCCCAGGGTGACAGCGCTTGGCTCGGGTCACGAGGGCAGCCTTCCCGTGTGCCTGCGTGTGGCTGCTCTCTGGAGCATGGCGGGGGACCAGCTGCAAACGGGTGGCTCAGCACTAGACGCTGGCTGAGGAAGGGAGGCTGTGCCGGCCACCGGGCAGCGGGTCCACCCGCATGCAGCCCGGGTCTGGAGTGAGGGGCCAAGACTGCGGGCCCTTCCCAGCTTACAGCTCCCCGCACAGCTGCACGTGAAGTCAGAGGGAGGAGGGGCCCATTCCCGGTGGACTCCCCTCAGAGACTTCTCCTCTTCCTCGTGGCTGTCACCCGACAGTGGTTTCCTGTGCTCAGCTCATCACTTGTCCCTCCAGATTCTAGAATCATCTAAACAAGGCACTGGCAGCTGAAATACCCACGCAGCATCTCCAACCCGAAAATCCACGATGCTCCGAGATCTCACAGTCCTGGCGCCCCCACGGCTACCAGAGGGAAACCCAGCCACGGAACTCACTGGAAGCCTGGCTCAGAACGGCCGAGGTCACGTGGACCAGGCGCGTAAGGGGCACGAGTGAGTCCCCTGAGCCCTGTGTTCAGACGGAGCCTCACCCCAAGGCACCCATCAGGTGTGGGCAAATATTCCAAAATGAGAAAGTAGAGCCACCTGTGTCCCCCGCACGTCGCCAGATAAGGGCTGTCCACCCGTGTCCTGCGGGACTGCCCAGAGAGGTGGAGAAGGGAAGGAGTCCTGAGAGACGGGGTGGAGCCGCCGGCAGGCACGTCCGAGTCAGAATAGGAAGGTGACAGGAGCGCCCACAGGACTAAGGGCCACTGAAACCCCGCCCTGTGCACACTGAGTCCCCAAGGGCCCAGGGACACCGCGGGAACCAGCGGGCAGGCCAGCTGGAGGGCACCTCCCAGCTGAGGCCAGGGGCAGCGGCCCCCTCTCCAGGGCCAGTGGCTGTGGTGCAGATACAGGACGGGGTCACGTCCCAGAGCAGGCAGCCACCGCAGCGGGGCCCCCACAGCCCCGCTCTTCCCGGCACTCGGAGGCCCGCAGTTCCCCCAGGGCTCTCCCCTGACCCGGGCTGGACTCTTGCACTTCCTGTCGCCCACAAGAGCTCCTTCTGAGGGCGGAGACGCCCAGACAGACGTGGAGGTGGACACAGAGGGACGGTGCACTGCAGGTGGCCGAGCACGGAACAGTGGTCCAAGGGATCAGGACAGGCGGGGGCAGCAGGGACAGTTCCCAGGAAGACGCCGGGCCTCTGGGACCAGGCTTGGTTCCCCCAGATTTGCACAGACGGCCACGCAGGGAGGACACGGGCAGCAGACAGTCAGCCGGCCGAGGCGCTCCTGCTGGGGGCCCACGTGGCCACGGCACGCAGCCCGCCGCAGGAAGGAGTCGGGGAGGCCGCGGCATCTGAAGCCTCGGGTTCCTTTTCTTCTCAGAAGCGTTAGAGGGTGAAGAGGACCCGGCTGCTGCCAGGTGCTGGCCACACGGGCCCCAGGATCCGCGGCCGTCCACGGTGCCTGAGCGCTACCAAGACGGGCGCTTCCAGCCGAGACCCCTCTGGGAGAAGAGCAGGGGGAGCTGAACACGGGGAGTGTCCGCGCTGTCCGGCACGGCCTGCCACCAAAGCACAAATGCCCTGGTTACGCAGAAGGACCGTGCCCGTCAGTCCCAGGGCTTCAAGGTCACAAAGGAAAGCAAACCAGGAGCAAAACCCAGCAGCCACTGGAGACGAAGCTCGTCCGACAGACGGTGCTCACACAAACGAAGGCGGGCGGAGGACGCCCTGTGCCCAGACCCAGGCCCACCCAGGCCTGGGGACGAGCGGGACCCTGGCCGAACCCCGCACGGGCCACCCACGGGGACCAGCCTGTTCTTCCTGCGCGCGACCCTGACCTTAGATGCGCTCCTTCTGTGAACTGGGCACCTGTCCTTCTGGCACCTGGGGGAAGAAACTGCTCCCTGTAAGCAAAGGGACTGCGGCCACTCCCGGCAGGGGGTGGACCTGGGGGACGAGATGGCATTCCTCTCCAGGGATCTGGGGGATGTCTCCGTGGAGGTGGCCTGGGCAGGGGAGGCGGGAGCACCTGCCACCTTCCTGGGCCCTACAGGCCGGCACATCCGTGAGCCAGAGGACAGGCGCTGGGTGCAGGGGCGGGGCTGGGCCGCCGGCTCCCCGAGACCCTCTTCCCCAGGAAGCCGCCCCCTTGGCTCCGCACGTCACGGCCCCTTGGAGAGGCACCCGGATGTGCGTGGGCCTGCGGGCTGCACCTGGCTCCGCTCGGGCCACGCACTGGTTTGGGCAGCCCCCACTGGACAGCCTTGGACACGGCTGCACGACCCGAGGACAGCTTCCTCTGCACCTGCTCAGAGCCAGCACCAGGCTGACAGGCTGCAGGGCGGGGGGCTGACAGGGGACGGAGCAGAGCCCAGGCGAGATGAAAGGTGAGCGCTGGGTCACAGTCACCTAGAGGAGGGGACTCTGAAGGGCATCCACGTTCTCTCCCCACCCTGCTGACGGCGAGACCTACCCGGGCCCCAGCTGCAGGAGAGGCGCAGAGCTTAATTAAGCTGTAGCTGGAGGGATTTGATTCGGTAGGAGGACGTCTCCCAGTGGAAGGGAGGGAGGCACGTGGGTCACCGGGAGCTCTCAACTGGCTTCTCTGAAGACGCCCGAGGTCTGGGTGGCCTCGGGGTCACGCTCCCTCCCTGGTCTGCTCACCAGGTGCACGGGACTGAAGAGGCTCTTGTGCCTTCGTTTTATAGAGCTACACATCCCAGCTGGGTGCAGGGTGCACGCCTGCCATCCCAGCACCCGGGAGGCAGGGGCAAGAGGATCACAAGTTCAAGGCCAGCCTCAGGAACTCAGCAAGACCTTGTCTCAAAAAAAAAAAACCAAAAAGGGCTGCGACGTAGGACAGAGGTAGAGCCCCCGGGGTTCCATGTTCAGGACCGCCCCCCCCCCCCCAACAAAATGAGCTACATAAGCAAGAAGTTATGTCTTACAACCAGGAAGCCCTGTGAGGCATCTCATCTGACGGTGGCGAGCTGTCTTCGTCCAGGTGGCTGCCGTAACAAAACCCACAGCTGGGGTGCACTAGGCAGAGCCAGCTGGGGGCCAGCAGCTCTGGTGCTAGAAGTGCAGGGCCCACGCAGGCAGATTCAGGGTCTGCTGTGAGGGTTGCTTCCTGGTTTTCTGGAAGAACTGGCTTCTCTGAGAGAGTGGAGCACACACGGATCCAGGACACAGCAGACTCCGGAGCAGCCGTGTTTACGACACCTTCCCTCCAGCCTCTTCCCTCCAGCCTCTTCCCTCCAGCCTCTACAGCGTGGAGTCAGTCCAACCTGGAGCCTGGCGGCGGGCAGGCAGTCCATCCCCGTTAGCCGCTGTGTCAAAGACTGAGATCCGCTGTGCCTGTGCTAAAACTTCATGGGGGGTTCGGATTACACAGGTTGGGGAGGGAGCAGGACCTGCTCCTCGTACCCTGGCCTCCGCACTGAGCCTCGCCACCAACAGCAGGGCGTTAACAGCTGCAAGTGAGCG